ACCAATTTTTGGTGAACCCAGACCAATGTCTGTCGTCTTTTCATCATCTTTCGTTGATGCTGAAGTTTTGGAAAATGTACGAGGGCATGTGTGTCTTTAGAGTACTGTTGCTGCGGATGGAATGACAAACGAAGTTATGAGGTATGTGCACTGGCGTTAGCAGTGAGCAACAAGATATTCAAGCTCTGGAAGGACAAAAATTCTGGCACTAGGACAAAACTACTGCCATACAGGGTTTTCGTTCTGAGGTCTTGTTCCATAGTTACAGAGACTACAGTACATAACAAAACAGAAAACTGGAGACGACTAATGTGAAGATTCGAAGATCAGTGTTAGGAATGAAGTGGTACGATTGGTGTTAAATGCTGTTATATAAGAGCGTCCTTTTCGCTGTCACTAAACTGACCGACTGACTGCAAACAAGGCGCTTAAGATAATGGGACCAAAGCTGACGAAAGAACGATTGCGAACACTGAACACAAAGTCTATTGGTCGGTGGCATTCAGGACGATCATTAGCAAAATGGGAGGTTCTCTTTAGAACTGACAAGGCATCGAAAAAACAGAAGACTCTGAGGCATTAACTCAATCCAGGTGGAATGCCGGTACAGGACCAGGACCAAGCGTCATCTTACGTACAGCGGGATACGAATGAGAAGAGGATTTTTTGAAAGTACTTATCGCAGCCTTTTGATGAAAACGTATTCGAGGATATTCACCATAGGGGCGTCTTCCCGTGCAACTGTGTACGTACGAAACAAGTTGAAAGTTTAGAAGGACGTTTTCTGTGATCGAGTGCTTGTGTGATTATGAAAAAGTGACTACTCAGTAGATTCTGTACACTAAACGTTTCTGGTGCCCCTAAAGACTGAACCGCAACTTTGAATGAGTTCGGTAATGTGAAGTGGCTATGAGTGTTACATCAGCCTTTCATTGGCGCTGTTGCCTGTAATGCTGTTACGGCAACTGATGCATCTACCGTATGAATACTGCTGGCAACTTTTCAATCAAGTGAAAACTGAAAAAATTGCAGAAACGGCGGCCAGCATTATGGGCGTGGCCTAAGGGAGGGAAAGTTTCGCAAAAGGTGGAAATTCGAGCCTCAGCATGACGTCGAGAGACTGTACGTACCATATTCACGCAGTAGATGCATAGCACCAGGTAGATGCTTGTCTGACCGTACGACCAGAATCGTATCAGCGACCGGAGAGCAGTGACATTCGCCGGTGGAGCATTCCAAGAGAAGTTGCAAAATAGAGTTTCGAGTGCTTCGCGAGGTGTCAACTAAACAGCACGACAAAATGCATCAGTAGCAAATACGATTGCTTCAGTTCTGTCATTGTACCCCACCAGCGAAGTACTTGCCGAGCAGCGTTGGACAGTTCAGTGAAGCAATTACCAGCACGACGACTGTCGGGTAGATGAAGGGGCTGAAAAGTGTCAATCAGATACTGTACCAGACGTCTGGCTAGAGTGGTCAGTGACGTGCACCTGCGTGATAAGATATTCTTGACGAACGTCGTTCTTGTGATCAGGTACGTCCACCTTTTGAAAAACCAAATGTACACAGCTCCACCAAGTCCGCAGACGGCCCTGAAACTTTGGCGTTGATTTCTGTGAGTCACGAGCGAGGAAAAACTCAAACGCGGCACGCCAAACCTCACCCTAACAGGGCGAATACGATCAGCTCCTTGACGTCGAACGGAAACTCGTACGGAAAAGACGTCGGGCTGTACGGCAGCACCGTTTCTGAACGCGTGACAGAAATTTAGCTAATGGCTGGCCGGTAGAAACTCCGCCTTCGCCACTTACCTTTGCCCAGGATCACGACCGTCAGC